AAAAATCTCTTCAAATTAAAAACAAAAATTCTTCAATTGTATTACTAGGTATATACCCCAAAGAATTAAAATCTAGAGCTGAAATAGATATTTGTTAATATATTCCCATGTGCACAGCAGAATTATTTTCAATATTCAAAGGCTAACAAGAATTTAAATGGCCTATCAGTTGACCATTAGGCAAGCAAAATACAGTACATCTACACAAGAGAACATTATTCAGCCTTAAAAGCAGGGGAATTCTGGCATATGCTACACTGTGGCTGAAGTGCCAGCCCACTGTCCTTGTTTTAAGTGAAGTGAAACCATCATAAACTGACAACCACTACATGATTCCATTTATATAAGGTCCCCAGAATGGCCAGACTCATACAGACCAAAGAATGGTAGTTTCAAGGGGCCCCGGGATGTAATGAATGAAAGTCAACGCTTGATGGGACAGTTTCAGTCTGGGAATGTGAAAAAATTGTGAACATGATGATGGTGAGGAATTCATGATAGGGAGACTATACCTAATGCCTCTGAATTATATGCTTAGAGTGATTAAAATAATGTGTTATGTTTTATGAGAATAATTAATAATAAAAGGTGTAGTGGAATCTCACGGTACACTATAAATGCATAAACCAGTTCTGAGTTTTTTAGGGAAGACTGAAGGACTTGCATCTTAATCCAGATCCATGGTTGATGAGTTATCAATAAAAATTACTTGCTATTTTTGTGGTTTAAAATATCATCTCACAGTGATGTCACTCAAGTACCTAAGGTGACTCAGGATGGCCCCAAAAGTGGCAGATCTAGATGTGGCCAGAGGCTTTGGCCATTAGGAAGGTTCTGTGGGAGGGGTCACTTCTGGGATGGATTTTAGCAGAAATCTCCAGTTTCTCACTAGTTGGGTCTCTGAAAGCAGGAAGCTACCTCAGAATATGACCTCCAGGTTCTCCCCAAAAGATCCCTGAGGAGAAAAAGAGGAGATGGGAAGCCAAAGTACATGAAGTGGAAATTTCTGGTTTCTTTGGGGACTCAGTTGAGTTATGTGATGTTTTGCTAGAAGCTGTCTTGTGAGAGGGCCTGTGATGTTTTTCTGTGAGCTGTCTCGTGTGAGGGGTGTGACTTTGGCCAGCTGAGAACATCTGTGGGTGGGCTCTGAAGAGAGGAGATATAGAGAAGCACACGGATAGTGAGACATTGATTTTTGGATCAACGTTGTACTGATCTTTGTGCTTCGATACTTTGACACTTGTGGCTTCTCAGAGAGAAACATTCCAGAGAACTTCTCAGGGCAATCCAGCAGAGTTTTGTTGCTTTCACTGACTTGTCCTGATCTTCTGGATCCCACTGTTCTGTTGATTTGTTTTGCTCCTTGGTGTTGGCCTTTGGAGCAATGAAGAGTGGACTCATGCCAAGGAACTACTTCTAAGAACATCTACAACCCCCTTTACCTAATAACTTTCTTTCTCCCCTCCCTCTGATTAGTGCGTAGAAGGGAGGTATTAAGTGTTTAAGAACCTTAAATAAAGTAGGTGGAAAATATCAACAGGTGGCACCCAACATGGGGTTTAGGCACAATGGGTAACTTCAGTTCTAATGTAGTAGAGGAATTGTCAGGTTTTTATGGGTTGGCGATGTTGTTTAAGGCGGTTGGCAAAATAACAGCTATTGCTGCTGGGTGGTCTCCTGTCTTGCTCCCAGAGGAAGTTTTCTGGTTTTGCTTTGTAGTCTTCATACATTCCATTTTGAAAAAGATTGGGGGGAAAGCTGAAAACTCAGAAGGTTCACTCAATTCTTTGGTGTTACAAAGGATTGCAGAGTCGGCTATGCACCTAGAGAGCTGCATAGAGGTTGAGGCGCTTGGAAAGCAAAAGGAGGCAGTGGGAGGAGGACAACAGGGTTCCAGCTTGGTGTCTGACACAGGGAACTTCCCTCGTGACGAACGCAGGAAGCAAACTAGGCTGGAAGCCAGGCTGCCACCCCACCCTGCTCCATGCATTTTTGCTACCAGGTACCAGAGCACCTCCATGAGGCAAGGGGCAGGGAAGAGTAGGGTAATTGGTTTCCTGTCCAGCCAAGTGCACTGCTGGAGGAGTTGCCTAGGAAGGACTGCACAGGCACCATCAGCCTTTCCGGTCTTTGTGTAGCATATGCCTGCTAGTGATGATGGTGGAGCTTATAATGAGATGACGTGGCTTGATTTAAAACATTTTAAAGAGTCTATTTTAAGGTATGGGGCACATTCGCCATTTGTTAAACAATTATTAAATAATTGGGCTATGCAAAATGGACTTATTTACCAAGATTGGAAGAGTTAGGTGTGAGCTGTTCTAGAAGCTGGTCAACAGCCACAATGATTAACATGGTGGAGGGACGAAGCTTATACCTCTCTTCCACCTGCTAACAAGACATAGGCAAGAAAAGTTATTAAGTAAAGGGAGTTGTAGACCTTCTTTGAAGTAGTTCCTTGGGATGAGTACACTCTTCATTGTCCAGATACCAGCAGTCCAGGCCAAATGCCAATACCAAGCAGCGACATGAATCAACAGAAGAACGGCAATCGGAAGAGTGGGACAAGTCAGTGAAAGCAGCAAAACTCAGTTGGGTTGCCCCGAGAAGTTCTCTGAAACATTTCTATCTGCGAAGTAGGTTAGGTGAAAAGTCAAAGCCTATAAGCTCTATTGACTTCTGAAGTCAATCTCTGTAAGGATTCAGTGAAGGCTTCTCCAAGCACCTTGTATTACCCTAGTAAGGGAGGTGTTCCCCCCACCTCTGGCTCCTCAACCATGTCCCCTGCTCCTAAAACTGCAGTACGACGACATTGTTCAAGTATGACATTATCAGACTGGATTTGATCTTGTAAATCAACACAATGTCCTTCACCAAGCAGCTGGCCTTTAACAATATTTATTCCCCTTGCTATATTATGTTGTTTCATTTTTCTGGTCTTTGTTGGGTGGCTGTTCTTCCTTGGTTTCTGTTGACCTTTCCGTCTCTTAGGAGAGTGTGGTGGCTTCATGCTGCCTGGTGGGGAATGTTTCTGAGATCCTGCCAGTGGTGGCCACTGGGGATTCCAGGTAAAATATGTTTTTAAGTATTGGAAGCTGACTTTTAGAAGTGAGGACGTAATAAGAGTGTGATGAGGAAGGTCTACAGAAAGAGGGAAGCAGGGTCTTCCACCAGTATCTGTTTAGTGACCTGGGAATGGGGTCAGACAGTGAGGAGAAGTCACAGTAGGTCTGCTACAGAGCTGGAGATGAGACTAGGGGATTGGATTTGGAGGAACAGAAGGAGAGGTAAAGATGTGCAGTTAGCCTACCTGCTTCCTTGGACAGCATCACAATGTCTAATTCAGTCCTGTTCTCCAAATACTAGCCCTGGACCTCTGCCACTGACTAAAGAGATTTTCTCTGTTGTGGGGTGCACTTAAATCTAACATAACTCACGTACCAGGTCAATGCAAATGACAAAAATTTACTGTAATTAATCTCCTACTGATTGATCAGGGCCGCAGAACAGACTCAGGGGCTAGGGTTGCAAATTTCAAGGATGAAACCATAAAGCAGTGGGGAGTAGGGCTGAACTTAACATTGTTCAATCATATTTTGACATAAGGGGTTGAGCAATGGAGTTTCCATCAGTTAGGATAGGAGCAGATTCCTTTGCCTGGGAACGTGAACTTAGTTTAACCCTGCCAGCAAGATGAAGTTATTGTCTTTGAGACATTTGGACTCAAACAACTGTTTCCTTACAAGTTGTCCCTGAGACAGCTGGACTTTGGACAATTGTGTGTGTGTGTTTGAGTGTGTGGTGTGTTACAACAAAACCTGTTTTGCTTTTGGGGAGTCCCCAGCTCCTCTAGGGCCCAAGACCTTGAACTTAGTTTCTGCCTTTGATTAAGTGGGGTCTGAAGACGAAATGTAGCACTTAGAATAAGTTTCTTTTGCTTCTTCCCCACATTCATTAATGTAAAGGGTAGCAATAGAGGGGGAAATAGTGGTTTTTTTTTCTCTCCTTAACTACAAGCATCCCATTTAAAGTTACTTTCTTTTTTTCCTTCAGAAACTGTATCTATTTCCCTTGAACTCTGTTTTGTGAGATGACAATGGCACGATGCCAGCATCACCTAAAAAAGATTGCTGTTTTACACATATTATGCATGTATGTACAGCACAGATGTGACCGATGCCCTTGAAAAACAGAGATGTCGGATACCTAGAGCTGGAATTACAGACAGATGTGATTTGCTAGAGTAGGGCTGGGGACCAAACCCAGGTCCTCTAACCCAGCTCCTCTACTGGAACATCAAGTGCTCTTAACTGCTGAGCCATCTCTTCCGCCTCTCACTTATTCATCTTGACCTCGGTCTTCTGTGTATGTTTCTAGTGATCCTTTCAACAAATATGGAAACCCTTTTAAGAGTGGTTTATTCCATCACTTGGCTTGTATTTGGTAGAAATCACCCTGGGAATTACTGCCAGGAGTTACAAATTTCGGAAGGCAGAGCCAATTCATATCTATGCAGACACCCTTATGGGTTCAAGGCCCAGAGGCAATGCCATAGGGAGAGCTGTGAAGCAGAAACATACTTTATTATACAGCTAAGAGTCAACACAGGGGTGAGTTGAAAGCTACAGCGCTTAAGTCAGTAGCTGAAGGAAGGTCTTGACATGGTTCCTGAAAATGGGCAAGTTCGAGAGGAGGAGGATGCTGTTCTGGGAAGGCAGGAGTCCGGACTAGAAAGCATGTTTGGACTGTGGAAGGCTTGTCTGAGGGTGGGTACCACGAACTCAACTATGGAAGAAGGGGCGAAGGCGCAATACTTCCTACTACAGCTAGTTGTGGGCTGAAAAGCCACGTGCAAGCCAACCTGCAGCCAAAGCCCGGCACACCCACTCAGCGGCTAGAGGCCGGGCTTCAGGGCGCGCCCCTGAGTTCCAATTGCTAGGGAAGCGCTTCGGGCGGTCCGCGCCTGCGCAGCCTCTAGGCTCCGCCCCCTTCCCCTCCCGCCCGGGTCTTTCTCCCGGCCAACATGGCCGCTCCCTGTGTGCCCTGCGGCCGAGTGCTTTCCCGTCGGCTCTCTCACGCGGTTAGAGCCAGCCTCTGCCGGAGGCCTGGCTACTGGACAACCTCGGCCTTTGACTGGCAAACGGGGCCCAGATCCCAGGTACGGCCTTGAGAGCTGGAGATGACGGTTCTTAGGGTAAGGTCATGTGAGGCCGGCCGACTTTGCTGGGTATTCATACCGGTCCCCGGCCGTGAGGTGTTTAGAGGTCGGGGGTCACGCTTGGGAGTCGGAGCATGGGTTCGCTTGCGGGCCGATCCTCTGCAGCTTCTTCCTGGGCGTTGAGGAGCGTGGCTAGGAGAATTGTTCCGCTTATGGAGCTGGGTGAGCTGAGTGATTGCCTAGGTGTGGTGATCCGGCCCAGGGGACAAGGGGAGCCGAGCTCTGCCACGACCCTGAAGACGTCGTGGGCAAGACTACCCTATAGAGTGATCGGAGGCATTTTACAAGGGCCTTGAATTTCTGGAATTCCAGTTTTCATAATTTAACCCACAACTTTGTCAGCAGACATTTGGAGGGCCAACGTCAAGCTGTGATTTCCAGCTGGAGGCTTTGCATGTTACCCGCTTATGCGGGTAGTTTTGGCTATAGTTACATTTAAGGTGTCTGTAGGATATTCCAGCGGAGACAGCCAGCAGACTCTTTGGTAGGTGTATTTGTGACGCAGGGGGTCGACCTGACTTTTTTGTAGGTGATAACTGAGACTCAAAGGATAGCGCAATAGTCGGGGAAACAGGGCCTTGAAGGACAAACAGCCAAAAGAGAGACCTCAGGAGATTGAGAATATGTTGCCAAAGAAGTGGGGGTCAGAAAACAACGTTTTAAGTAGAGTACCAAATATTGGTAAAGAAATACTAGCACTAGATATAGCAGAGAAGTTAAATACTGAATCTTAATCTGTTTTTGCCAAATAACTGGGGCTATCATTTTCTGTGTTATTTGATGTTTTACAATAAACCAATCTGTCCATTGATTCATCAAACATTTGGGGATTTTTGTTGTTGTAAATTGGAAATATGCTGATGTGTTTACTTCTATACATCTCTTTGAATATATTGATAAACATAATTGCATATGAGAGGAACTATAGCATACAAAGTATTTTTGTTGGTAGTAATATTTACATGGGGCAGGTGGCTTTCTCTCCCTCTCATACATTCTGAAACTAGTGTCTACCCTTCGGTCTTTCTCCATATTCTTTTTTATTTATTACTATTAGTTATTACAGTTTATTCACTTTGTATCCTAGCTGTAGCCCCCTCCCTCATCTCCTGCTGGCCCCACCCTCTGTCCCCCTCAGGTCCCTCTCCTAGTCCACTGATAGGGGAGGTTCTCCTCTCCTACCGTCTGACCCTGGCCTATCAGGTCTCATCAGGACTGTTTGGATCCTCTTTCTCTGTGGCCTAGTAAGACTACCTCACCAGAGGGAGGTGATCAAAGAGCAAGCAACCAAGTTCATGCCAAAGACTGCTTCTGTCCCCCTTACTAGGGACCATGGAGACTGAGCTGCCCATAAGCTACATCTGAGCAGGGTGTCTAGGTCCTCTCCATGCATAGTCCTTGATTGAATTCATCAGTCTCTGCACAGTCCCCAGGGCCTAGATTTTTTGGCTCTCTTGGTTTCCTTGTGGAGCTCCTGTCCCCTCCAGGTCTTTCTCCCCCCCCCCCCCCCCTTTTTCCATGAGATTCCCTGCACTCTGCTCAAAGTTTGGCTATAAACCTCAGCATCTGCTTTAATACACTGCTGGTAGAGTCTTGCAGAGTCCCTCTGTGGTAGGCTCCTGTCCTGTTCCCTGTTTTCTCCATCTTCCGAGATCTATCTTTTGCCTTTCTGAATGAGAATTGAGCATCTTACCCAGGGTCCACTTTCTTGATTAGTTTCTTCAAGTACAGATTTTAGTATGATTATCCTATATTATATGTCTAATATCCACTTATGAGCGAGTATATAACATGTGTGTCTTTATGCTTCTGGGATACCTCACTCAGGATGATCTTT